TTTAACATTGACAACATACGTGCCACTTTTATTATGTTTGTTGTTGTTGTTCAGTTGTTAAGTCATGTCCGACTCTTCGTGACCCCACAAACCATATTGCGCCAGGCCTTCCTGTCCTTCACTGCCTCCCCGAGTTTGCTCAGTTTCATTCATGCTCATTGCTTCAGTGATGCCATCCCACCATCTCATCCTCTGCCGTCCTCTTCTCCTTTTGCCTTCAATCTTTCCCAGCATCAGGGTCTGATGAAGCATTATGTTTGTGCTTAGCCATTTTTGACTGGGTTTTTAAAAATTAGTCTTCTAGCAGAGAACATGCCTGTTTATACTGAACTAATCTTTTCCTTCTATTCATTCAGGTATTTGCCTCCAGAGTGCTTTGTCGTAGGAAAAGAACCACCAAAGATTTCTAACAAGGTGGATGTGTGGTCAGTTGGAGTAATCTTTTTCCAGTGTCTATATGGCCGAAAGGTAAGCACACACGATTAACTCTACAATTTTCCAATACAGGCAAGTTTGACTAGCGCAGTTTCTTTAATCAAGAATATGTACAGGCAGATACAATTATTCAACTTATACCTGTCTGCATTTCCCATTGCTCTGAAATACTTTAAAATATTTTAAAATAGCATAATTTTAGATTTTTAAAAGTGTGTGTTTTTTAAAACAAATATATGAGTATTTGGATATTTAGTATAATGAACTCTGAACTTCTTTATCTCTTTCCAGCCATTTGGCCATAACCAGTCACAACAAGATATACTTCAAGAAAACACAATATTAAAAGCCACTGAAGTACAATTCCCAGTAAAGCCTGTTGTGAGCAATGAAGCCAAGGTAATGTTAAGAGTTCAACCATCCATTCTGATAGTATCCAGTACATTCTGACACAAGAGGGTCGGTCAGAGAAAATATTGAAAGCCAACTACAAACAAAATACATGTAATTTTTGTAAGAATTTTTTTTTAATTTCACCTGAGAATTCATACATTTAAAAGTAAATGCAAAATATTTTTTTACAAACTATTTCTGTGTTTTCACAGATGTAAATCTGTTATCAGATACTGAAGATGATTATCTAGAATCCTGAAACGTTGATTTCTTGAATAGAAAATAAGCGTAACTAAATATTTATACCAGATTGCAACATCTTATTGTCATTCATTAAAATACTTTGAATATCAATAATTACAGAAGTCTTAACTAGATAAGCCAATTTGTTTTGTCCTATAATCTTCAATCCTAGAAAATCCTGAAGTACAGTTACACTGCCACTTGTTTTAAAATTGTATTTGCTGTTGTGAACTAGACATCACACAATGCTAATCAGAGGGTATGGTTTAAAATGAACACTACTCATTTTCCAACAAGCCAGCTTCAAACAATGAATTATAAAACTGTAATTTTATAATTTAAATCTTAGTTTAATTTAAAATTGAACCATGGACTGTTTTAAAACATCTCTGATTTAAAGGAAATGCCAAATTGCCTGAGAGAGAAAGAAGAGAGTACACAACCTAAGTCTTTGCTTGGGCTTATTGATATGCTTATGTAATTAGTTCTAAAAAAAGTTTTATCTATGTTATTTAAACTAGCCCAATGACGTGGCTTGTTTTAATAGTGTTTATGTTGTTTAAAAAAAAAAGTCAGCTGTGGGTTTGGGCACAATTGATTTCTGGTTGGTTTAGCCATCATTTCTGACTAAACAGAAATAGCTTGTTTCTGGCTTGTTTAACCACTAGTGCTTGTGTGGAGTCAGGTAAGAAACTTGTTCATGGAGCCAGAATTTCCCCAAATTTATATTAATCGTCTGTGTTAATGGCCTCTTTATCCTCTTCACAAGAAGGGGGAACATTGCATTTTCTCTCTACTTTCCACAGAAGAATGTGTTCAGTAAATGCAGATGTGCTATTTTTGTCGGTAGTGGAGATTTTTCAATTTGAGTTCCACCCAAGTTAAACAGGTTCTGTGAGCTTAGCAAGACTGGGCTTGCCTGGCACTTCTGGGCTTGGATTAAATGTCTTTATATCGTGTTGTGCTGCTTCTTCCCACCTGTCTCATCCTTGTCATTGTAGCCTACTACCGATCTTAATCCATACTTCCATTCTTTCCTTCTATAGTTTCTTTGCTCCTGACAAAGTTTCTAGTTGATAATATTCTATTACCAACAACTTTCCACATCTAAGTACACATAATGTATTGTGAATGCTAAATTTGGAAACTTATTAGTACAGAATGGTCATAATGTTAGGTAAAGACAACAGAAGTAGGATGTGAGGGTGATCTGGCTGCGACATCTGTCACCCCATTGATCGCCAGGGTTGATTCGGCTGGTCTGGCTGGCTAGGTGGGTGTCCCCTTCTTCCCTCACCTCTCCACGTGCATCACTCCATGCATTCGGTGGAAGAGGATGACCATCCCAGATAGAGGTTGTGTACTGATCTTCTGTCAAGGGTATATGATAGCTGCACTCCCCTGTTAGAACCTCCCAGCAATAGAAGTAAATAGAAAGCAGTGTGAAAATTATGTCAGTAAGGCTTCAAATCCTGAAGGTATGAAAATGGATATTAAATTATGGGAATAAAAATATACCTTTCTAATTATTTCACCTTTTTATCATTGAAAATAACTTTCACTTTTTAAAAAAGTAGAACATTGCACATGATTAATAAGAATTGTATATGTATATAAGCAAAATAGCCTTGTGGTTTTAACTATCATATAAGAGGCTTATGTGCATCCTACATATGGGATTATACTGGAATAGGTAAGCAGGCTGGTATCTGGAGTTGTGTTTACCACACACTTTCATTACCCAGTTCAACAAGCAAATTTATATATATGTGCAAATCACTAAATAATTCTACTTATTGATAGATTTTTGGAGTTGAGAAATTCTGAAGATAATATTATTAGTACATATAAGGGAGAGCATAATACAGAACCTCTTAATGAATCAAATCTTTTCAGTTTTAGAAGAATCAGGTTTTTGTACCAAGAAAATACAGTTCTTAGTCAATCAGTACGGGAGACTTGCATCCAATAGAGACATGCTGCTGATGGAAAACAAGGACTTATTAGGAGAATGGGGAGAAAAGAGTTGTTTTGATGTCGGGCAGCACCAAAATCTAAATAAATAAATGTTATTTTCAGCCATTCATCTTCTCTTTTGCCTCTCCATATTTGTTTCCAGGGATTGGGAAACCTCTTCAATCATCATGGGAAGTAGGGTGAGGTTCCAAAGAGGAGAGTGAATCAGCAAATTCACTTTCCTTCCTGGTGCATTGATGGAAGCCTCTCTGAATCAAAGAGATTTCTATCAGTGGAGGGATCATTAGATACAACCTAGTATATATATTTTTTCCTACAATTTTTATGTATTGCTATTTGTGCTGAATTTGCTTTCTATATTTTTGTTGAAGATTGTTATGTTCTTCATTGCTGGTGTTGTTGATGATTGGGAGAAGTAATTTCTGCTTTGTTTGGCATTATCTACATATTTCCAATAATAAGATTGCACACGTAAAAGCAAGAAGCAGGGAGAAATGACACAGAACTGAAAGTAAAAAATAATAATTAAACGGCAATATAATATTGTGTAGGTCAGTACAGGTAGATCTCACTTAACGACCATAATTGGGACCAGAATTTCCGTGGCTAAGCAATGCAGTCATAAAGCGAGACATCATGTGACTGCTTCCCTTAGTGACCACAATCCCAGCAGTCCCAGTTGCGCTGGGGCTGAAGTAGAGGCCTGGGGAGTGGTGGCAGCTGGCTGAGACTGCTGAAGGCCCTGGGCCTCTACTTCAGCCCCAGCTCCGGTGCTGCCGCTGACGTGCCACTGTGCAGGGCAGCAAAAGAGCAGAGATGGGTTGGGGGGAGTTGCAGTGCTCCTGCAGTTGTAAGTGTGGGCAGGCTCCAAGTGCCCAAATGTTGATCATGTGACCACAGGGCCACTGCAGTGGCCGTAACTTTGGGCACAGGTCATAAGTCCATTTTTTCAGCACCGTTGTAATTTCAGCCACTGAACAAATGGCCATTAAGTGAGGACTACCTGTAACTGATTTTGATTTCCATCCTTTACAAAGATGTACTCTTAAATTAGAATTCAGTAGATTTTAGAACAATGTTACTCCCACCATTATAATGTGGCTGTTAGAAATCCCTAATGCTTACAACATTTATGGTCTGCTTGTATTTGCTTAATAATAATTAGTGGGAAAATGTTATTTATAATTAGCATCTCTCTGTACTTAACATATTATAGTTGACAACTCTGTAAATTAAACACAATTTTTGTATTTGTTAGGAGGTGACTGAACAAATCTGGCCAAGCATGGCTTATTGAAAGCATCTGCTAAATTCAGTGCAAGCTGAAATTTTAATCAGAGACTTCAAATTTGGTATTATGCTACATCAAAGTTTGCATGAATGGGTTTCCATTAGAATAGTGGGATTTTCACTTACGTGTCCTTCAAATTGAGATCACCCAACTTATAAGGCACATTTGGGAGATAGAAGGAAAAGGAAGAATATTTCTGTTGGTTGATATTCCATCAGCAAACTGCATTTAATTCAACACCATACTGTCTGTTTTTCTCCCTTCCAGGCCTTTATCAGGCGTTGCTTGGCATACCGTAAGGAGGATCGGTTTGATGTCCATCAGCTGGCTAATGATGCTTACCTACTTCCACACATGAGAAGATCAAACTCTTCAGGAAACTTGCATATGACTGGACTGGCAGCCTCTCCCACACCGCCTATATCAAGCATTATTCCTTACTAAAGCATCTTCACAAAGAAGGTTTGCATGGCACCTTCATGTAATTTTGCTGCAGTGGACTTTCATTTGAAAGCATTCTGTTAGCGTTGTTTACACAGCAGGACAAATTTAACGATGGTGTCTTCATACTGTGGCCCTTCAAAGAAAAGTCATTTCTGTGATAAGACTGGATCATGATCTGAGAAGGGTACATTTGTTTCAGATGTTCACATTGAAAACTTTGAAGGACAGCATTGCCTGTTGCCTCCAAACCAGATGTACTGTGTTATTAAGACTGAAGAAAATATGTGTTTGGACTTCTAGGGAGGGAATACTGTAAATAATCTTTTTACTTTAAAAAAAACTTTTGGTTGATACTGGAGAGTTCTAATAAAGAGGGGTAGTTTTCATTATTTCAATAAAGAAGAAAACAGAGCACAGAACAACAACTCAGTGCCTGGACAAAATAAAGAAAAAGTGAAATAAAAGAAACTTTCTTCCCAAGAAGTCAACGTTTCAAAAACCAAAGTAAAGTTGAATGACACAGCTTTGTTTATTAATTTCTATGGATAGAAGGGATTTAACATTGGGGGGTGGGGGTGGGGCTGGTGAGAAGTTTTTAAAAATGTGTTTGTTGATTGAATGACTGTATTTTCAAAGGGATAAAAATAGTTCCAGTGAGGGAGCAAAATCTAGTTTGAAACTAGTTCAATTATTTAAGTGGCATTTTGATACTTAGCAGAGTTGTCAACTGATATCTGCTGCCCAGGCTTTTTGTGGAGGATTTACAAGGCCATGTATGTAACCAAAAGCAAATTGGTCATGTTTAATGTTTCTATGCAGGATAATGACAAATTCCCTTCTAACTTTATTGTAAATGTATTGTACAGATGTCATATTTTCAGTTTAAAAAATTCAGCAACTTATTTCTGTACAAATGTTTAAAAGTATGGCTTTTTCTAATTGGATATTGTATTTTTTTTAAGTCTCATTGAAGGCGCTTTTAATTGCTGCTAAATGATGTTGCTTTTGCTTTTGCAAAAAAAACAAAACAAAAAAATCAAAACAACCTCCTTAAGGTGCAAGTCAGCTGAACGTCCTAGAGAGACTGAAAGTAGATAATTCATTCACAATCAAGGCATGTCAAACCGACCTGTGTTGGAACTATACAGTACCATTCAAGTCAGTTTCCTGAACTGGAGCACGTGGATACTAGATGTAGAAGTTGTTTATGGTTATTCTCGGTTTCTGGAAGTACTGTCTACAAGGTGGGAAGATGTTCCTCTAAAGAGATGTCTCTTGTGGCTTGTACAGATATTTTAAAATGTGAAACATTTTCTAACTGCCTTGTATGGTAGGGTTTTTTTTTTCCCCAGAATGCAGTATCTCTCTTCCATACAAGATTCCTCTTACTGTCATATTCATAATGCTGAATACTTGTATGTAACTTTGTCCATGTTGCAGAAAGGGAGGCTGTATTACCACAGGTTTTTCATTTAATATTGTACAGTTAAACTGTGGCTCTTGTTTCTGATGTTGCAAGCCATTTTGTTTTTGTTGTACATAAGGATACATTAACTGTCTCTTCAAAATGCTGCTGAAATTGTAGAGAATGTAGCCAAAACAGTAATAAAATAATGAGAGTTGAAATTTAAACTATTTTTCAAGGTCTTATTTTGGAGTATAAAAGACAGTTGCAGTGCTTTTCATTCATAATGCAAGGAGTAGTTCCCCTAAGTTTCTCAGTATAAAACCAGTTGTTTTCTGCCCAATTGTGCTTGATCAGACTACAACATTCTATCTTAGAGCCAGTCCACATATCATGCAGGATAATGCATTATATTTAGAATTGCCTAATCACAAATTGAAGGATTCTTTCTGTTGATGGAGGGAAAAATGAATTCGTAGAAGCATCCCATTGGATGAGAGGGCAATCTGGTACATTTTGTAAGCTTATCTCCTTATCTCTGCAGCCCTGCACAATATTTTATTTATTTTTGGTTTATCTATTTATTAAATTTATATGCTGCCCATTTCCCCCAGAGGGTGACTCTGGGCAGCTTACAATTAAAATCCGAAACAATAAAAACAATAAAAATATAAATATCCATATTAAAATAAGTAGTAACAATTCTACATAAAAAGCCTATATACAATTCAAGATGATGGGGAGGGAGCAGAATCGATCATCCCACCAGCCAATTGTAGAAGGCACTGCATCCCTCCAAAGCAGTTCTGTGAGGATGGGGGGAATCAAGAAAAAACATCTGCTTTTGTCCTCCAGGATCGTAAGGACCGAAGATTTTTCTTTATTGTAACACACTATGCAACTCAATCAAAGAAACAGCCCAGGTGACTATTACTTTTGCAGTGGCATATGAAGGGAAGATTTTGCATTTTCTTGTCAAGTTTTGACATACAGTGGGCGAAATGTGTGCGCACTTTCTCATACAAGTCATATGCTGTTTACATCTCTTGTAAGTAATTGTGTGAAATGGTTCCTGTTATTCAAGAACATTTAAAACCCTCTGATTTGTGAATGCAGTTCTGCTTTTCAGCATTTGCATTATTGCTTCTTGACCTTTCTTGCTTTTCACAATGGTAAACTTGCTCCAATTCTCCTCGTTTTCATTTTGCTGGGGAAATTAAATGAAGACCATCAGCAAAAGAGTGGAGTGCTGCCTAAGCTGAGTTGTGGGAGAAGTATTAAGAAACAATAGTTAGGCTGATTTGGCCTTCATAATAAGCTGTAAGTAGTATGTACCTAGCCATCATGGCTTATAAAGCATATTTTCTAGCTTCTAGTTTTAGTTTGGACCAGGCTGTTTGGTTTGTTCAACAGCTCACAGCTAAAATGTGTTTGCTTTTCCTTCTGTACACCAAAAGCACCTAGGGTAAATAAAAAAAGGCCCCAGGAAACCAACTCTTATCTTTCACTTGAGAATATTTTTGCCACATTTTTAACATAGTGGGATATGATGAGCATAAATCTAAGCAGTCACGTTTTGCACACAAGTCTCTCATTTTTATGGATGTCTTCACTATTTTAGCAAATTATTGAGAGGGAATGGGGCCACCATGAAGCAACCAAGAGATAATATTTGCTCATCTCCAGTCATCTGGCACCTCATCAGTTCTCCAAAATTTCTCAGAGATAACACGTAAGGGTTCAGCTATACAGTACTACCAGTTAGTTCCTTCAGTACCTTAGGATATAACTCATCAGGGCCTGGAGAGAGAAACTCTAAGTAAATAGATAATCGTTCACTGCATTTCTATAAATCTCCAGCTTCAGTCTTATCCTTTATCCTTTGTTGTTGTTGTTCAGTTAAGTTGTGTCTGACTCTTCGTGACCCGATGAACCATATTGCGCCAGGCCTCCCTG